CCGCCCCCCGTCCCCGCCCCCCCCCCCCTCCCCCACCACCACCACCAACAGAATCAAGGCTGGGCAAAGCATCCCACCATAGGAAAAGGGTTCCAAAAATCCAGCTCATGCACCAGAAATAGAAAATGGTCCCACTGCCTGGGGTCTCTCAAACAGATCAAGCTCTACAACTGTAGCCCACATGCAGAGGTCCTGTAGTTCAGTCCCATGGAGGCTCCACAGCTGTTGGTCTAGTGTTCATGAGCTTGGTTCAGCTGTCTCTGTAGAGTTCCCCATCATGATCTTGACCCCGCCCCCTTGCTCACATAATCCCTTTACATTTTCGAATTTATAGCATGTAGTAAGAATAAATTAGGGATATCCTACTGATGGAATCTTACATGCCAAAATCTACATATTTTCATGTGTATATCTTCAGTCTTGTTTTTTTAAATGAAACTCAAACCATGCTTTCCCAGAATTTAAAAAGCAGTGTGAAAAATCTTAGGTGACTTACAGTACCATTTGAAAGCTCACAATTTCAGATATAACTCAATTTTTTATTTGTTTTACTTCATTTTTTAAAACAAACTCCCACTTTTTAGCACTGACTGTCTTGCAACTCATTCTGTAGACCAAGCTGACCTTGACTCACAGAGATCTGCCTGCCTCTGCCTCCTGAGTGCTGGCAGGAAAAGTACATGCCACTACACCTGTCCCATAATTCAGTCTTTTTTCAAAATGTTCCTTTTTATTGGCTCCAAGCTATGGGTACCCTGAGCTGCAGAAGGTAAAAACATGATGTGCCTAGTTTTTAAGGCTTCTGGCTTATGGAAAGCTCCTTATGGGTGTGGGCGTGTAGATTCTCAAACAAGGACTAAATTCCACTTGACTAGCCATGGATCCCTTTTCCAGAAGTTCTGATCTGATGCTTCAAGAATTTGAAATTATTTAACTCTTTTTAACCTTTGATTTTTGTATTTTGTCTGAGCCTTTAATTAAAGTCATTGTCTCTTAAACCAGCAAAAGGCTGGGAACATGGCTTCGCAAAATGCTTGATACACAAGCCTGAGGATGAGTTTGGATCCCTGGAACCAGATAGAAATTGAGAGTGGTGGCTATGTCTGTGATTCAGCACTGGGCCACAGAGACAGAGGGCCCCTGGTGCTTCCTGTCACCCAAACCACCCAAGCAGTGAGCTTCTGGGTCACCAAAGACCTTCTCTCAAAAATAATATGGAGACTGAGAAGACACCCAACATCAACCTCTGGGCTCCACAAGTGCAGGTGCGTACACACTAAAAATGTATTGCACTATGGCACTAATTTTCAAAACTATTATTAGTCTGTATGTGTACTATGTGCAAATACATAGATGCCGGCAAGGATTCGTATCCATTTACTTTTTTAAATAAATAGTTGCTATGTGAACACCACATCACAGATGGCTTCCTTCAAATGAGTATTTGAAATTCAAAACATGAGTGTGCACATGCCATTTGCATGTGGAGGTCAGAGGACAACTTGCAGAGCTGGCTGTCTTCTTCCACCATGTGGGTCCTGGGAATCAAACTCTGGTTCTTTGTTTCGTGTCAAGCAATTTTACTCGCTGAACCATCTCTGCTGCCCAGTGGTGATGGCTTAAAACTTAAAGCAGTGGGCTAGGATCTGATAAGACTTCTGACTCCTTGAATACCAGGCATGCATGTAGTAAAACATAAATACACTTAAAATAAATAATAAACAAAACTTAAAGCTATTGAAATCCTGCCAGTACCTATGAAGTATTATGGCAGATTGACTCCTTACTCATCAAGGTAAAACTTTACAATTAATTTTGGTGTAATATCACTCTACCAGTGGTTTTGAAACATGACTAAATGTTTAATTGGTGTGCTTTAAAACAATCCCTTGCCACAAAACAGGAAAAAAAGAACACTTTTGTAGTAATTTTCCTTCTCTAAAGAAAGGTATTTTTGAAGATTAGATGAGATTGGGTGCATTCAGGGTGGTATGGTATTTTTTTCTTGCAGATTTTTTTTTTTTAATTTGAGTTAGAAACAAGGTTGTTTTACATGGCAATCCCAGTTCTCTCTCCCTCCCCTCCTCCCTTACTACCCCCACCCAACTAAAACCCTACCTATCACATATCTTTTCTGCTCCCCAGGGAAGGTGAGGCCTTCCATAGGGGGTCTTCAGAGTCTATCATACCCTTTGGGATAGGGCCTAGGACCACCCCCCTCCCATATGTCTAGGCTCAGGGAGTATCCCTCTATGTGGAATGGGCTCCCAAAGTCCACACCTATGCTAGGGATAAGTACTGAACTACTATAGGAGGGTCCCATAGATTTCACTGAAAGCCATGTTGCTGGCGCCTGGATCAGTCCCATGCTGGTATTTCAACTATCAGTCTGGGGAGCAAGAGCTCCCCGATGTTCAGGTCAGCTGTTTCTGT